AGCACCACTTTCCACCCTCAGAAGGACGGGGCAGAGCGAGAGGACGATTCAGACTCTCGAGGACATGCTTCGGGCATGTGTGCTAGATTTCGGTGGCAGTTGGGATACGTATCTTCCGTTAGCGGAATTTTCGTATAACAATAGCTACCACTCCAGTATAGACTGGCCTCCCTTCGAGATGCTCTACGAGAGGAAGTGTAGGACCCCAATCTGTTAGGGTGAGGTCGGTCAGCGAGTCATGGGGAGTACAGAGGTGGTACTCAAGACCACCACAGAGCGGATTCAACATGTCCGGAACAGGCTACAGACTGCTCAGAGTCGGCAGAAGAGTCACGCCGACAAGCGGCGTTCGGACTTGGAGTTCCAGGTGGGCGATATGGTCCTCCTGAAAGTGTCACCCTGGAAGGGTGTTATCAGGTTTCGGAAGCGGGGCAAGCTGGGCCCCAGATTCATTGATCCGTTTAGAGTTTTGGCCAGGGTGGGTCGGGTTGCTTATCAGTTAGACCTTCCAACGGAGCTCAGCCAGATCCACAGCACGTTCCACGTCTCCTAGTTGCGAAAGTGTTTAGTGGATGATTCAACGGTGATACCCTTGGAGGACATTCAGGTTGATGATAACCTGAATTACATCGAGATACCTGTGGTGGTTTTAGATCGCAAGGTGAAGGAGCTGAGGAACAAGAGAGTAGAGTTAGTGAAGGTGCAGTGGTAGCACCGGAAGGGTTCAAAGTGGACTTGGGAGCCCGAGGAGGAGATGAGGGAGCACTACCCAGAGCTGTTTCCAGATTCAGTAGACTTCGAGGACGAAGTCTAAGACAAGCGGGGGAGAATTGTAACGCCCCATTCCTGGTATGAATGTAATTCCTTAAATGATCATTTTATAAGAGCTACTCGACGAGTGGGTAGCCCTAACTCGTCGAGTACATGCGAGCTGGACCGCGGGGATTAAGGAGTCTACTTGACGAGTCAACGTATGGACTCGGCGAGTAGGTCCATCAAGTGGAAACCCTAATCCTTAGGGTTCGCACCCTATTTAAGCAATATGATGGACCTCCACCCCAGCCTCCATCACCTCCACAGTCCATTCTCGAAACCCTAGCAACCATTGAGTGTTCTAAAGCTTTTTTTTGCCATTTTTGTGTGATTTAAAGTTAGGAGAGGGAAGAGAACCTACGGGTGATTCAAGAAGAGACAGGAGATCTAGAGTTTTTGTTGCATTTCTGAGCCCTTGAAGGTATAAAGCTTGTACCTTGGTTTATTTTTCACTTAGATCTTGTTGAGAGCTTGTTGTTGTCACTTTTGGGTCATTTCTAAGCTTAATTTCGGGTAGAGAGCTTTTGGGACTGTAAGGACTTCAGATCTAGGCACTCCTGAGCTCCAGAAGCTCAAAGTTGCCACCTTTATTCGGCCAAAATCCCATTCTATGCCCTAGACTCTCATTTCTAGTTTGTTTTCGGTGATTTAGCTTCATAGCATCATGCATGCACGTAAAGTTAGCAACTTTACGTGTTATTCAAGCCTAAGGAGTCCACATCTATGAATTAGAGGCAGTAGAATCACCTAGAATCGACTGTATAATCTGGGCATGCAACGGACTTGCCGAGTTGTTCTTGGGACTCGACGAGTCAGGTCAATGTCCCCAAACCCTTCTTTAATTATGAGTGAAACCACTGAGTTAGGTAGATGACTCAACGAGTTGGCCGTGAGTGAGACTCGGAAGCAAAAGAACTCGACGAGTCCAAGGAGGGACTCGACGAGTAGAATCGAGATGTCCCGATGTTATGACAGTTTGAACTCGACGAATCGGTAGAGGGACTCGGCGAGTTGGGTTAACTAAGAGTTTACTTTGACTTTGACTTTGACTTTGACCAGGGGTAAAGTGGTCATTTTTACCCATAAAGGAATCCTTAGTATTTGACTTAGTGTTATTTGGTCATAATAGTCGGAGAGTAGTTGGAGCAGCAGACAGAGTTACCGTGCAGGTGTTTTTCAGTAGCCAGACTGAGAGGTGAGTCTTCCTCCAGTAGGAACGGGTCTACGGCCACAATGTCGACCCGTTTAGATGGTAGTAGTTCCAGATCTAGGTCCGATGCCGGGGGTTAGCCCGATGCAGTTTGTATGTTTCCGGACTTCAGTCCGATGCCGAGACGGTCCCGAGAAGTAGTTATGTATGCTTGATTTCTTTGTGATTCATGTATGTTATGTGTTATGTGTTATATGTACCTGGGTAAGCCCGATGACGGGCAAGCCCGATGTATGCTAGATTATATGTTATGATTATATGTTATGATTATATGTTCCGGGCTTCGGTCCGATGCCGGGGCGGTCCCGATGCAGATTATGTGATTATGCTATGTGTTATGATATATGTTCTGCCATGTATGTGCCGGGGTAAGCCTGATGCCGGGGCAAGCCCGATGCCGGGGTGAGCCCGATGCCCGATGCGGTCGGATGCCGGGGTGAGCCCGATGCCCGACAAGAGTCCGATGTCGGGTAAGCC